TTTCCTTATAATTCTATTCCTCAACATGTTTTGCGTTTTAAAATATTGTTGTTGGTTTTTCTTTAATGTGGATGAATTAACAATTCCTCTATTTTTAGTTTTCGCATATTAGGCTTTCAATGTGTCTGTTTTTAATGGTAAACTTTGTTTGAATCATAAATCAAGTAAGTGATAGCATTATCCTTGTACAGTCTAGATTTCTTTAAAATCATATCTCCAGTCTGATTGGTTGTAACCTGATGTGTTGTGATTATGTCTTCACTCATTATGCTTGGAAGTTTCTGAAGTTTTATTCTCTTCAGTTTTTGTGTTATTAGTTAAGTGGGTTGAAGTCGTGAACACTTTTCCCTATTTAATACTATGATGATTATCGCATTGTTCAGTTGCGGGAGCTTGAGAGAGGAGTAGATATTCTTGTGGCAACTCCAGGACGTCTGGTAGATTTGTTAGAGAGGGCTAGAGTGTCACTGCAAATGATCAGATATTTAGCTCTCGATGAGGCAGATCGGATGCTGGATATGGGTTTTGAACCTCAAATAAGGAAAATAGTTGAACAAATGGACATGCCTCCTCAAGGCATGAGACAAACAATGCTGTTTAGTGCCACTTTTCCCAAAGAGATACAGGTAGATTATGGCTTTTAATCAGGTTCTCAAGCTTCTCATATTTCTTGAAGAAAAAATATTTCAATATTTCATTCGTATATTCTTTGTTTGCTGCCATATACCATAATTGTCTTGATGATGCTAGAATAAGAGGGAAGAGTTCTTGATAGCAGCTATTCCAATGCGGTTTCACTGCTGATTGTCTATTTTAAACTATCAGATTGTTTTGCACTGCTCTTGTACTTGCAACATTTCTTACTGCTTCAATTAAGGTGTCTGATCAATTGCTTCACTTGTAATGGCAGATGGATACATATAAGATAATTATAATAAGGGTGGAAGTAAGGAAATACGGATTTGTTTAAGCAGTAGGAGCTAATTTTATATTTTATTACTTTTTCCATTTAGTCTCATCCACGTAATATGAATGTTGATAACTTACGGAAAGTCAGGTATTTATAAGGACAAACGTAGAACATGATTCACGTTTTAGAGTAGCTGATTTTAAATCATAAGTGATAACTTTGGATGAATAGCTTCGCTATTGTAATTAAAGGTTTACCAGAGAAGATTATATGCTTGGTATTTCTATGGCAATAACTATAATGATGAGGGTGAGGTGATGATGATTCAGTTGTGGGAGACATTCAAGACTTAAAGATATGATGCTTTATTATACTGCCATTGCGGCTAAGATACTTAGGTTTGGCTATGAAATGTGTCATCTGTAGTTTATGCTGAGGGTATTGTGGCATTGCAAGTTAAATAAAAAGGTTGAATTAAGAGAGCTTGTATTATTTAGAACAACACTGTAAGCAAGGAGTAAGCTAGAATTCTAGATTTAATCTATACAAAACAATCAATGATCATGTTAAGTCCGAGAAAGCTTGTTTTGAAATAGCAATTATAACCTTCCTGTCATAATGCTCATATGTATGCAGAGACTTGCATCAGATTTCCTTGACAATTATGTGTTTCTGGCTGTTGGAAGGGTTGGTTCAAGTACTGACCTAATTGCTCAACGAGTGGAGTATGTTCTGGAATCTGACAAAAGAAGCCACCTGATGGACCTTCTTCACGCCCAGAGGGAAAATGGAATTTATGGCAAGGTAATTTGTCTACGCTGCAAAATGACTGTCTATGCTTATAATTACAGCAGTTTTATCATTTTAATTTGCATACTTCTTTATTTTTTGACATTATGGTGCATTTTAAGTTTGAACTTCTTGTTTCAGAATATGCATGTATGATTTACGGATTATGATTTATCATACTCCGCACTATGCTAAACATCTTTCGGTGGATTTTGCAGCAAGGTCTGACATTAGTTTTTGTGGAAACAAAGAAAGGAGCTGATGCGTTGGAACACTGGTTGTGCATTAATGGGTTTCCGGCAACTAGCATTCATGGTGACCGATCGCAGCAGGTAACCAACTTTGGCCAAATAAAATCGTGTTGAAGTTTTACATGCATCAATATTATGGTTTCCATTAGAACATTTTTATATCTACTTTTATGTTATAAACATATACGCTTTTTTTAAGGGTTAGAAAGGGAGTTGAATTGGATTTTAATTCTGAACTCAAAAATTGAGAATTTATGGATCAAAATCAGATGCTGCCAATTCTCATAAACTCACATAATGCCTCGTACAATTAAAACAGTTGGGTAGCAGTGTGTTCTGAACTAAATATTTTTTTTATTGGGACAACCTTGACACTGTTCATTTTCCTGATATTTGGATTTGGTCTTCTGCGGCGGCATTTAATTGATGCCCATACCTTGATTTGTTAAAGGATTTTAATTACTCCTTGTGTATGTCTCTTTCTTTTTCTTTTTCTTTTTTCCCGGTACAAATCAAGCCATGTGGGCATATACTATATCATTGTAACTGTGCATGTGTGTCGTGTTATGTATCTATGCAGGAAAGGGAACTAGCATTGAGGTCGTTCAAGAGTGGAAACACGCCAATTTTAGTGGCAACGGATGTTGCAGCTCGCGGTCTTGATATTCCACGTGTAGCTCATGTGGTAAATTTTGATCTTCCGAATGACATTGATGATTATGTGCATCGGATAGGAAGAACAGGGAGGGCTGGTAAAATGGGGCTAGCAACAGCCTTCTTCAATGACAATAATCTGTCATTGGCTAAGCCATTGGCTGATCTGATGCAAGAGGCAAATCAAGAAGTACCTGCCTGGCTCACACGTTATGCAGCCAGAGCTTCCTATGGTGGTGGCAACAGAAATCGGCGTTCAGGGGGAGCCCGTTTTGGTGGCCGTGATTATAGGAGGGACAACCAACATAATAAAGGAGCCGACTACTACGGTGGAACAAGTGGATACGGCGTTCCTGCCTCTTATGGTGGAGGTTATGGTCCTCCAGGGGTTTCTAGCGCCTGGGATTAGTCTCCTTTTACCGATGCATTCAAGCTGTTGAGTGATTGTATATAATTTCAGACTTCGTTGATGATAGCTTAATCTTAGCCCTTGGTCTAGCTAGATTCATGCATTCCCTAGTGCTGGAAATCTTGTGTCTAATATTAGAGGGCTGCTGATTTCCTGTGAGATTGTTTCACTGTCGTTTTGCTGTTGGATTATTTTCAATTGGATAGGTTTCCGGTTTAGCTGTTTCAGTTTTGTCAGGTGATGATGGTATATAACATTTAGTTCATCGAGATGGGAGAAACACGGCACGTTATATCGAAATATCATGAAAATCACGAAGGCGGCAAATCAAGTTTTCTAAAACTAATTCAATGTTGCATATGCAGCCGCAAGTATCCATTTGTACACGAATGGATTAACATGGAATTGGACGGACCATTTATTTTCAGATGCGAGTCATCCAATGTGTTGTGAATATAATCAGTAACACAACAATGTCTTCATAAAACTTATCGGCATTTAGCAGCATATATTATCAGCAATAATGGAGGTAAACGCCAAGGAAAATTAATGCCCGTTAATGAAAACCCTTGGCTGACTAGATATTTTTCATAGCTCCGAGTCAGAAGTACTCAATTACCTATCAGTTAGAAATTACTTTCTGTAGTCTTTTTTATCAGTTCTAATTAATTACTTTACACGTAAGTTAAGTTAGCCAGCTAAAATTAGTAATTTTAATAAAACCTCAACATTATTCTCAATAAAACTCATTGGTTAAAGGAGTCAGGTTGATCAGTTATAAGGTTTAATAGTTATGGATGCTAAGTTAAAATTAATGCTTTAAACAAAATGTTATATCATGAAAGATGTTTGTGATAACAACATGATTAGCACATAAGAGGACAAAGAAAAGTACAACATTGTAGTTGGAATAAATCAACTATAGCATCTTTCTCAATCCTTTGAGAGCTTTTAAGGTTCTGAGTTGTGTTTCGTTTAGAGAAAAAAGATGGAAAGAAAGAGAAGGGAGGTTGGAGCTATGATACCCGGGAAGATATCAGGAATGGTATTGTATATGTGAAAATATGTTTCAAAATTTGAGTTAAAAGGACCTTATGAAGTTGAGAATTGTTAATTTAAGCCTTCTAACTTAAGAATGAGAGAGAAAATAAATACTCCTCTGGTCCTTAATATAGAACCCAATTGGTGAGTTGGTTTTGGTCCTAAATATAAGACCCATTTCTCATATTTATCAATTATCTCTAAATTACCCCTATGGATACCCTTTCAACCATAATTAAGTAGAAGAGAAAAATGAGGTATTAAAAAATATGATTATGGTATTTTAGGAAAAATGTGTCATATTTCTTATAATTAACTAACTTACCTAACTTCCTTAATCTAATCAAATTAACTAAATGGGTTTATATTAAGGACCAGAGGAGTAGTTTATTTTGACCTTCTTTCTTTCTTAATTTGATAAACTTCATCCATTTTTCACCATTCTCAACTTCAGAGAATCTAAATTCATTAAACGCAGGCAGAACCGCATCTATAGGCAACTTAACCAAGTTGATTTTTCCCAATTTTTCCAGGCTCAAATGTCACCAGAATGTCATTTAGATAATTAGATGTGTTCCGTAGGTTATTACCCGGCCACGCCAAACAGCCTCTGGCAGAAAATGGCGCAGACAGTTATAAGAATCAATATCTGCAAGCAATTTGAACATAAAAGCAAATTATGTTCAAAGCTGGTAACTGATGCGAAGAATTCCTGCATAATGCATCCAAACTAATCAGCATCATCGTGATCATCTGGAGAACTAATGACAGTCCTAACGCAGGACAAGAAATTTGAGCAGGGCAGCAATTTTGTCAAATTTCACATCTAGCTATGCATAAACCTAAAGCAGACAAACAATTCCAATATCCGAGCATTGCTTTCATTTCAGGCCATCTTTATAGTTCCCAAATGTTTCACATCATAGCAAACCAAGAAGGAAAATCATTTAAAACTACAAATTAAGCTTTTTATACGAAACTTATTTTCCAGATATTTAGCGTCTCGTCAAAGCATAATCAACAAATGTTAGACAATACTCCCCTTAATAATTAAAGCATCAGCAGAACAGAAGCAGAATGAAGACACGCAGTATCCACTGATGTTACTTCAAGGAAGTAAGGACATGAAAGAAAGGGGGGAAAAATATAAAGTGGCAAATATTAAGAATGTTTCATGATTGCACTGGCAAGACAAATCGAAAAATATAGCCAGTAGACTCATAAAAGCTTGGATGTTTGATGAGCGAATAGTCAAAATTCTAAAATTTTGTAATAGAGCTACCTACTGGAGAGCAAATTATTTTCTTTCTTACTCGTAGGTGGCTATAATGTTACTTCTGTCATATGAACACTACTCTCCATCAGACGCTCCATCTAGGTCTGAATCTTCAACCTCATAGAATTCATCACCTGTTCCAGAATCTTCCTCCTCAGATTCTCGCAGCCCTGCCTCATTCACTGCATCATTTAGCAATAAATCTTCTTGATTTATAAAGTTCGCACCTTTTCCGCGATGAAGAAGCCCCGTCCTCATTACATGATAAAACTTCTCTCTGAGACGAGCAATAGGATGCGGATCCACTAGTTTTCCACGTTGATACCCTTCTCTAAGAGTAACAGTCGTTGTTTTACATTTCAGTGAGAGGTAAAATATGCCAGGATATCTTGTGAAGATTCGGGTAAACTTGTGGGGAAGATTCAACTCCTCCCTCAAGCTTCTCAAGTAGTTCCTCTTTGTTTTCTTGTGCATGGTTAAACTTAGAAATTCATGCAGAACTCCAACAACTCGCTTCTCCATTAATTCACTATTTGGATCAATTTGTCTAGAGTCCTCATAAGGAGAAATGTAAGGCAACTTTTGAAATTCCTCCATCCATGCCCTTACTTTCTTCTGTGCTCCATAACCCCTTGGAAAATTCATGGGGAAAACCAGAGCTGCTTGCCCTCTCTTGAATTGCCTGTACTCATCCCCAGATGTCCTGTTTTCATTGCTCTTTTGTAATGCCGAAACTGCAAATTCCTCACACCAATTTGCTAGTCGCAGGCAGGTGACCCCATTTGAGGCCTTGACAAATCGAAAATGATCTGGGTATTTTGGGACCAGTGATTTCTCAAAGCAATCCGGTAAACCTAGATCCCATTTCAAAGGATGGAGGGACTGCAGCGGCACAGTTCGAGTTTTCGTCATCATAAGTACCTTACAAAGCCGTTCGACAATATCACTCTCACGGGCCTCGTAAATGCTTTGCTCTTGCGAGTCCAACAGTACTGCAGTATCTGTCAAACGGAAGCAAGGCAAACTAGGCCAACGAGGATGTGGAAATTCTTCAAAGAGAGTGGGATACCTACGCATGAAACGAAGAACCGGGACTGTGAGGCCAAGCAGTTTTTGCCAGTCAGCTACAGATTTTGCTGTGAGAAAACCAGTGGACGAGCGCTTAATCGCGTCCTTGAGGAGACAAGCAGCCTTCAAATCCGTTTCCTTGTCAATTACGTGATCAATACTTCGGTTTTTCACCCATTTGAGCCGGACCTTCACTATGCCACGGCATTGGAGGTATTCATAACACTGACAGAGTTTGGGAGTCTCGTATAGAGCGTAATATTTCAACTTTAGCAGAGAAATATCTCTCAGATAGTTCATCTTTACGGGAAAAGATATAATTAACATTACCCGAACGGAGATTTAGAAGTTCGAATCAGAAGGAGACAGCAAAAGTTAGATTATGATATTTGAAATAAAAATGGGTTTTCAATAGGGACGAAAGCAGAGGATTGCCGAGTAATAAAAGTTCGCAAACTGGTCTATATCACAGCGGAATTAATCAGTATCACGAGAATGATTTTCCTATGTTCTTTCTACAAAGGTTATATAATCAAGTGTCATGGCGATACTAAACACTCTACTGTTCTACAGAACCGGGAAGGACATTACTGGCCAGGTGTTTAGGAGTCACAACCTGGGAAAATCGCCTTCTTGTTCTCTTCGAATAATTGCCAATATATTAAGCGCGATCATGTCCTTCCTCCATGGTCCAAAAAACCAAAAATAAAAAGAATTCCTCAGAAATGCCTAATTTCCGAAGTAGCAGAGCTGGGAGAACACTGGCTCTAAATTTTTGAGAAACTGGCGATCTACTGCCTTTATATACGATCCAAAATTCACCTGCCAAGTGTTCCCCAAAGAACAGAAACAGAACACAGCTTTGCGACTTGTGAGGAGCGCACAGAGATGTTTGCCAGCGCACCGCAGTAGCAACCTAGGCATATTTGGTTCGGGCTTCGCTCAAACCTAATTCAACTTGACCGTAAAACTTTTTAATTCCGTGGGCAATTTTATGTATTTTTTAAATATTAATATTTAATTAAATTTACTTTTAAAAAAAACTTGACATAATAAATACAAATAATCTCAACAATAATTATGTTTTAATTTTCCAATTTGATCATTTCCCCTCACTCGTTAGTTTTTTTTCACTGGCTGCTCCTTCCAACCCCTCCTATTTTACACTCGGCTTCACAGCATTTCTACTCAAAAGTGGGAATGGAAGAAATAGCAGAAACGGAGGATTTCACATGGAGCAGAGAAACGGTTCCCCGAGTCCTCTTACTTGTTTCCTCCAGATTATCTCAGGGAGACCTTTTCTCTCTCTTGCTCGTCAACCCATGGATTTATCGGACTCTTGTCTCCGCCTCATCGCTTTGGGAGGTGCTTCTCATCTTCTCTGGACTATATTTCATTCTTTTGATTAATCTTTCAAGGTCATGATCTTATGTTATGGATGATTCTGATAGGTCCTCAATTTTCGAGAGAGGAAAAATGCAGGGAATCGGCTTATAGCTGCTCTTTCTCTGGTTAGCTTATTCTTTTCAAATTTGATTGCATTCTCGATGCCGTATATTTCATTCAATTTCGTATAGTGCAATTATCTTGACTTGGACACTACCAGGGGGACCAATGGATGATGTCTTCCTAGTTCTTGATGTAGAAGTACCAGTTTCTATTTTTACTTTTTTTTCCCCCTTCTGGGTGCTTTTGTTTAAGCTCTCTTGAAATTTTTGCTAATAGTTATTTTATGTTCAATTTGAAATATTTTTTGTAGCCTAGATATCGCAATGTTAAGCAGATTAACCTGGAATTTGCTCAAGATGTTGATGACACACATCTCACCATTCTCAAGACTAAGGTGGCATATTATATCATTTCTGTGAATGTTTCGTCTATTTCCCTTGTTACATCAAAGCTGAAAGGCACAAGTTCCATCATTAAGAAAGTGAGCTTTGTGTTATCCTCCTGAAGATGGCAAAGGTCCATCATAAAAACAAAAAGGCTGAATTACACTCTACCTCATCTCCAATATGGCTAAAAAAATATATTGATTAAGCGACCCTAATTAGTGTTGTTTTCACCTCTAGTGTTCAGATTCTCTTAAAGGCTTGGATTCCTTGAACCTGAATGGCTGCCAAAAAATCTCAGATGAAGGAGTTGAAGCTGTAACCAGCTGTTGTCCACAACTGAAAACCTTTTCCATCTACTGGAATGTGAGGTGCTTTAAGGTCTTCTGAATCTGTGAAGTTTATACCAGTAGCTGAAAAATCGTATTTTTATTTTGATTAACAATTGTCAAATAACGAAACATGTTCCAGGTTAACAGACGCAGGACTAAGGCATTTAGTGAAAAATTGCAAAGGCATAGTTCATCTGAACATAAGTGGCTGTAAGGTATGTGAGCCACTAAGACACTCCAAGCTAAATTTGACAGTATTGTGATGCTTTGGATTCATATTACTGATGCATCTTAAACAAATAACACTAGCCCATGGTTCTTTATCTGTATATGTTTGCATAAACATATTGGATTATGCATGCAATATGTGTATGGCGTTATGCATCCCTTATTTGTAGCTCTGGAAAATTCTGCTCAAAATGCTGTTCCCGGGTGCAAAAGCATGCCTTGTTAAGAATTGGTGTAAATACCACATTTCTGTTGTGAACTGTCAGAATAATAACTCTTAGTTTTTAATCTTCACGTGTGCTTTAATAGTGTTAAAATAGTTCTTAGCAGCTTTAAAGCATTTTGTGTTCAATCTCTCTTCTTTTCTTATTGCTATTTTTATGGTTGTAAAATGATAACTAACTTCCGCTAGAAGGAAAGCCAAGGAAAGCAAAGAGGAAATCCCTTTAAAGAGAATTTGAGAGTGTGCATCTGTGACATACTCCTTGAAAAGCTATTCAAATACAAAACAAGCTCCAGATTATGCAGTAAACTCTACTTATTCCTTTTAAGAAAGTACGTGTAATTTAGTTTTCCTTCAGACTTCTTTCTAATCCCTGCTGTTCTGAATGATAATCATTTAGTTATTTTCTTAACACTCACAACAACAACAACAAGAATCCCCGCTGTTCTGAATGAAGTACAACAGCACTCATATAAACTCGAAATTCTGCTAATAAAATTCTATAGCTGTTTTCGAACAGTCTCTTAACGGCTCTGTAATTTGGTAATTGCAGAATATTTCAGACCAAAGCTTGGAATTTATTGCTGACAATTATTCAGAATTAGAGTCATTGAACTTGACAAGGTATCTGAGGTGGTTTAGAACAGATTCTCATTTTTTGAGATGTCCGTTATTATGGGGTTATTTTGCATATCTTGATGTATGAATAATACCAGCCTTAATTAAAATTTCACTTTTCAGCTTGCTTGTACTGGCATGTTACTTTATGATATCCATGGGTCATGATAAGTAGTGAAATTAGAGACTTCTGTTTCTGTTTCAATTCTAGGCTCTTGAGTTGTTTTAGAAATTTACATTCCATACATCTATCTGGTAAGATGATGCCATCAAACATGGGATGAATTCTATTTTTCTTTTGATACTCATACCTCAAGATTTGGTGCTTAGGTGCGTCAAGCTTACAGATTCTGGCTTAAAGCAGTTACTACAGAAATGTTTATCTCTTCAGAGTCTAAATCTCTATGCACTGTCAAGGTAGCTGCTGAAACTTATGCATTTTAGTTGAGAATCTTTTCTACGGATCCAATCACTGCATTGTTCTTGTTCAGTTTCACAGATAAAGTTTACAAGAAGATGTCCCTCCTGGTGCATCTCAAGCTTTTGGATCTCTGTGGTGCCCAGGTAATATGTATTGGGGTTCTGAAGATTCCCCTACACCTTATCTGATGCGAACTAGCATAGTAACTATTTATAGTTCGGTTTACAGAACCTTTCAGATGAAGGACTTTCCAGCATTTCTAAATGCAAGAATCTTATAACCCTCAACCTGACATGGTAACTAAAGCTTCAACTGTACACACACACACACACATCAAATAAAGGAGTTCTTTGGGTTATCTGCATCTTGTTTCATGTGATAGGTGTGTGCGTGTGACAGATGAGGGGGTCATATCCGTTGCACGGAGCTGCACCTCTATTGAATCTCTAAGGTGTGTGGTGTGCACGTTTTGAGATTTCTTGGTGGTTCTTGAATGCTTGCAATCAAAGTGTATGGGCTTCACTTTCTTGAGCAATTTCATTTTCTCTGCGTCAACTTTTGTATAGGTTTGTGCTTGGGCTTGTCAGTATAATCAAAATAGCTTAAGCTACTTAGTTAGGATTGCTACATGCTTACATGCCCTTCATCTTTCTCATTACTTGTTGATGTGCTCACTTAGTATGCCTCATGTCACAACTTTTATTTAGGTGTGGGATTTCTATTCGTCAATTCTCTAATTTGTTTGGTTTAAAGGAAAGGAAAGTCTTTCCTTTCCATTATACTCCTATTCTTCAGTTCTTTAACAGTAGCTTGCCTTTTTATAATTATATTATTATTCAAGAGTACGAAGGACATTTCTTAACGCCAACACCACTTTTCCTCTTTCTTTTCCATTCTTCAATTTAACTACCGAACGGCCCATAAAAGGTTTTTCAAATATATGACAATAGAGAGTGTCTATGCGTGTAGCTGAGGACGAGATCCTCATACAGCATGCTTTTTAAACTAGTTTTGGATTCTTGGCCTTCCTGGTCTCTAGCACTCCCAATTCTGTAAAAAAAATTGAGATACAGCTGAAGAGCGAAGATAAGATTCTCATATGGCATACTTCTTGAACTTGGTCCGTCTTGTTAAATAAAAATGGGAACAAAACAATTGAGTTCAGTTTGTGGCTGTGTTATTGTTCTCGCACTTCCAGTTTTCTTTGTGGGTTATTCTGTTATCGAAACGTGGTTAATCTGTATAAAATTTGGCTTTCAAAAATTGTTGGTGAATGAACTGAAGTGGATATTTATAGAGTTGAGCCTAACTGTCTGTTTTTCCCTTTAATAGTTGAACCCAACTGAGACTCGGATATTGAACTCATGCAGATTTTAATAAATTTCCCTTGACTCGTATGTCACATGAAGTAGCCAAATAGCAGATGACGATTCATGAACACATCTGCAGATATACATATTCTTGCTTCAATGGCAACATGAATTTAATAGTTCCACCCAAAATGATTCCTTTTTTTCTGATGCTTTTCGGTCAATCCTTTTACTGATATTTTGAAAGGACACGTATGCAGCTTGTTTGGAATAACTGGTGTGACTGATAAGTCTCTAGAGACACTCTCAAAATCCGGTTCCAACAAGATCACAACCCTTGATGTGAACGGATGTATTGGCATCAAGGCAATATTCTAACTTTGGAGTGTCTCTGTAAATGACAATTTAGTTTACTGGCATTAATCACATGTTTGTTTGATAACTGGCTAACTCTTTTTGTAGAACCGGAGCCGCGAAAAACTGCTTCAGTTGTTCCCAAATCTGAAATGCTTTAAAGTGCACAGCTAGGGTGGTGCTTTCCTGAAGTTTCCAAACGAAAGCAGCCTCTTGAGACAGGTTATTTAACCTGCCAACCACACATGCAGATGTACTCCCAAGCCCTGTTTTCTTCGAATCATTTCTAGTTGGCAGATGCTTAACCATGTTGTGTTAGTTTCATATTGAAGTCGCACAACTTCGTTTTTTAACTTTATATTGGCATATTTTAACAGAATTATTTTGTTTGCATGTGGAACCACTGAAATCCGGGGGAAGGGTATCATTTCGGACAATTTTTTTTTGGGAGAACTTTTTACGACTCATATTGGGCTTCATGGGTATATTTATAATTTCTTCATCGGAGCCTGTACGGCGCGAGTTATTTTGGGTCTTCCCACTACATAGTATCGATGTATCAGGCCTGGGGTTTATGCGAATGGTAAATTAATTTCTCGAAATCTCCTCCATCCTCCTTTTTCCTTCTCAGAATTTCTCGCTTAACAGAACTAATGGTTTGAGAATTTCCCTTGCTTTTAAAATCCCATACATCAATATATGTACATGTATGTAGAAAAATTCATTAACCTTGATCTTTAATCATGAATAAAATTGTATCACTAAATAAATTAAGATATCGAGTATACTTGAAAAATAAAATCAGGATATTAGATGATAACTTATTAAGGGTTACAAATGAAATAATTATCTATCATTTGAACGTAATGGCAGGAACAACCCATTCATCTCACGGGTTTGTCTTCGCATATATTCTTCAAAACTATTGTGGAGTTAGGCAGATAGCCCATAGGATAATCGGTAATTTAGATCATGAAGTTAATTTTTCTAGTCAAAACATACTACTCCAATTCTAATTATAATACCCCATTTGTAGTCTATAAACAAAATCCTATAAGATCAAATAGCACATTTCAAAAATACCGCGCCACTCAGCCTGCGTTTCTTCTTTTGTAACCGAAATTTTTTACTATACCCAAAATTCGTCAGATACCTTGAAAACAACGCCCGTTGACGCCAGTTACGTTGCTATTTATCCCCCAACGCCCTTAACGAAACAACCCCCCTCGCCCTCATTTTTTTCGCCGCAAATAATAATAATAATAAGTGGGGAGATATGATCGTTTCCCTTTTTTGGCGGCGGTCAGGTATTCTCCGTTTCGGCCTGATGCAACTCGAAATCGCGGATGTCTTGGTCCACGACGGTTTCAAAATTAAGTGTCAGTAGGATCCCTAAATAGAATCAACCTTATCAGAAAGGTATGGCAGATTCCCAGATAATTTCAAAGCTTCCGCTAAAGAACTTGTTCTACACCGTTTGCCATTTTATTTCAGGCACTCCTTTTTTTTTTCCTCAAAAATATTCAAAGTAATAAATGCCAAGTCCATTTAAATATCTCAGGGACTTCGACAGGTGAGGTAACTTAGCTGCTAGGGCGAAGTAGGCCAGCGGACATTTCAAGATAAGTTTTACTATGAAGAAAGATTGGGGGTGAGAGAAGATGCAATTTTATAAGGCATAATCATGCTTTTTTTATATGAGACGGTTGGCATAATACAATGCAGATCATTGAAAGGATTCCACACGATAATACCTGGGAAAGACAAAGGCGTGATCTACCATCCTTACAATAACTTATCAACCAAACGCTTCTTCCGGCCTTTTTCTTTACGTGTCTTTGGAAATGACCTACAAACATTAAGAGCCATTTTTATCAAACGCTGCAGTTTATTATGGACTATATTCTACAGATATATAGATTATTGGTTGGGGCATAAAGGCTTACGAACAGACTCAAATTCTACCCAATGTATAGAGGTGAGGTAAGAAATTCAATAAAATGTCAGCTCTCCCGCAGTGAAGAGTGAGGGAAGAGACTAACTACCTTTCACATGTCAACGCCTAGATCTATTCTTGCAACAACGAAACTCAGCTAACAGAGCTATATGATCTGAGGACCATTCAGGAGATGGAAGTGCCGTGTCTTTCCTCAAACTCTCCTCGTCCAACAGCTCCAATAGTGACTCCACCACCAAAGAATCCGCTGCAATCACAAACCACGTCACTTCAAAAATAAGTGCCCTGCATCTTAAAATTTGATAGATGATGCAACACAATAAAATAGCAAACCTGTATAAAAGATGTAATCAAGAGTGCCAATAAAATCTCTAGTGACATTTGTGAACAGGGGTTCATTTGTTGCACTGTCCAGTCTCCTTTTGTGCTGCTCAAAACCAAGGCCTGCTGTTCTTGCAAAAGAAGAGTATGCGCTAACCTGTAATTGAAAACAACTCATATTAAAAAGCTAAATCAACATCTTGAAAAAGAAAAATGCGCAATAATATAAGTAGAAAAACTAAAGCTAAATTTTAGAGTTGCATTTTAATGAATGTATTACCAGCGGCAGCTGATGAATCAACTTGCTGTAAGGACGCAAGATATTAAGAGGATCAACAGTTAAATCAGGATGTAATGGGTCGACCTTCCCCATCGCAAGAAGTGCATGAGGAGCACTGCAACAACATTCATCACCAATCTTAGACAAAATTTACTGATGCCAATATATAATAAATTAAAATAAGCTCAAACTAAACAAAAGGAAAAAGCCACAAAACCTTCCAGGAACTGAATTAAAATCTCCACAAACAAGCATTGGAATGTCGGCACTTGCAGCTATCTTTTCTAACCCTTTTAAAAGAGTATGCACCTATAAGAAGGGAATGAAAAAGCATAACTCCTAAGCTCGCAGTAAACACGTGTTCAATATGAACGAACAATTGAAAAATGCTTACCTGCCAGAGTTTGACATCCTTCAGATCTTGGTGAACGTTTACATGTGTATTAGCCTGCAGTCCAAGGGCAAAATTAGTGCTTCACAATGAAAAATAAAATTGTGTTGCCACCTGAAAAGAGGTCGAGGGAAAAGGAAATGTCATAAATCTCACACGAACAGCCAATGCCAAAGAAAACTTTCATAAAAATTAAAGTTACGCATCCATTGTGGCCCTAGGAATTTAATAGTTTTTAGTGTTAATCCAAAAAAAGGCCCAGGGCCTCAAGACCTGCCCAAACAGCCATTCACAACTCAACCGAAGCTGCCAAAAGAACAAAAACCCCCAGCTAAAGATTAGGTTATAGGTTATAATTACCCTTTAAAATGGATAGATAACTAAGCAATTTGCATCCAAGAAGAACAATTCTAAAAAGGCTCCAGTAGCGCAACTACAATGATAAAGATAGGAGGATAACAGCAACAGAGAAGGAAGATCAGGCACAGCGAGAAAACAAATGAATACCATCAGGCATGCATGAAAACACAAGACCGTCTAAAGTCCACAGACATAACAGCAGTGTAAAAGAGCTTACCACACAAAGAAGCTGCCTTTTCCCAGGATTATCAATTGGCTGATTGGCAACTTTCGCTTCTAAAACCACTATTAATGCAACATTATCCTAGGAACAAAAGGATAACAAGATAAACACAAGCTTCATAAGAAATAATGCAACATCTGGTCTTTAAAGCAATAGGTTGCCACCTTAACAAGCCTATTTAGAGCAGTTTTCCTCTGGGTGGTAGGAATCATGGCATCAGTCAAAGACTGCGCAGCCTTATTAAATTCAACCTGCACGCAAGCAGACATAATTTAAGTTTGTGAACAAACTCAAGAACTATCAAGCAGAAAAAAGTGCACTCCCCAACCTCGTATTTCTTCACATGCGAAAATTTGTCCCTGCGGAAAAATGTCGCACAGCCATCAATTGTATTGCTGTTACCTCCATATACCTGCAAATCAACAATTTATATCAACATTTTAAAGAAAAATTCAGAACCATGAGCACAAAGAAACAGAATTTCTGTTCAACCTCATTTGTTTTCCTCTTATATAAACCATAATATCCATGTTTGTCCAATTCAGGAGAAAAAAATTCCTCATAATGATCACTTTGGACCTGAAAATGAAAAAAATTTGACAATAAGATGATACAGAAGTCATAGAACAAGATAAGCCATCATGCCTAACCCTCCCCCCTTCTTCGAATAATCATTTAAATTGAAAATGCAACAAAATTCAACAGAATCAACCTGAACATCAGCCCACGTTATCAAGTCACTTTATCAATGGTCAAAACCATAAACAAAAGCATGTTGATGTACCTCTTGAAGGCAAATAATGTCTGCACGATAACCAACTATTTCTCTTAACAAATTTTGTCTACGATATGGCCAAGAAAGAGCCCATGAAGGGCAGTAACCGTATAAATCATTTGAGGCATATGCATCAGACAAAATATTGTATGATAGAACAGTAAAAGTTCCCGAAGATGTTATACGTCCATCAGCATCTAAAGGTCCCATCCCATCAACAGGTATCAAGCGGCGTGGACTAGGCGATGGTGCAGGAATGACCCGAGAGGTTAGTATGGTGTTGACATGCCCCACAGGAAGTTTTGTTTCTGCATCAACTACCGCACACTCAAATTTTAAGATATGACCGATGTCATCAACTGTTGGGGTATATGTTTTCGATCGTCCAACTTCAATCCAAGTTTCACCACCACTTCGCTGCGTAACAGCTGATGGATACAACTGCGCTGACCCATTTGTCAATGCAGCACTTGATGTAGAACTAGATAAGCTATTATTGATTACCCCAGATCCAGAACTATTAAAGCGACCAAATACCTCCTCTTCCTCATTCCCATTTTCATTAACAGCACTTGCAGCACGATCATGGAGAACACGATGATGCTGCCATGCATCTGAAAAGCACTTTGGTGTGCAATGGTAGCTTTTCGACACAGGTATTTTGGCTTTAACACAACCAAGACACTGCAATGTGGCCTGTTCAGATGGATGTATGCTGCAGACAGCGACCTTTTTATCACTTTGCACACGATACCTACCAGAAAAGAACAGCGAAATGATATATCTGTTTATAAGTAACAGATTAAGTATTGAACCAAACAAATAACCCAATACATGAAATAAAGGGCTTGGGATGAAAATTCAAGATCTTAACAGTCACCACAAACAAAATCATGTCTATTACTCCTTTCTGTCTAAGGGGAAAAAAAAAGTTATACAATAGTGGCAGTAAAAGTAGGCAGTTATATCTTTGCCAGTGCACCTTAACTAAAGACCACTATACAAATGGAAAGACATACACATATATTGAGAGTAAATGAGAGAGGCCACGTGAACTGCCACTAGCATATAGAGACCCAATTTAATAGTCTGATATTTAAGGTTGATTTAACATAAAAGAGATGTTCTTTAACGCAAGAGTTAAGCAAAGGAATAATAGCAATCATCCGCTGGTTTAACACTATCAAATCTCAGATCCACCAGGCAACAAATGCCACACTAATTGCCTCTTTCTACGGATAGAGTGAACAAACTTAAGTGCAACCTGCGTGCTTAAGAATCTCATTCTATACACAAATGCATAAGTCTTACTTTAGTTTCCACAACTACAAGAACAAGCTCTTGTCCTCAGCAAAGACATACTTTTTCACTCCTTATGAAAACAAGCGAACTTGTGTGGACAGAGACAACAGAATTAGACTACCAGTGAAATGATTATTTAGAAATAGACTAAATTAGGTTCGACCAACATAGATAAACCTGGCCACAGAAAATGCATTACATATTTTTCTATTTTTCCATCTTCAACATATCCTATTGTTCCATTTTAAACAAGCCGCATTAAAGAAAATAATAGAAAAGAAACCCCAGAAATTTGCATTTGCAGCTTAAGTAACAACAGATAAATGTCATATACTTGACAAATTAAAATTTAGAGTTCCTGCATAAATATATAAATTTGGTTGATACAGCTAAATACAACACTGGGAGGAAATGGCAAAAACAAATAAAATTTTTTTCCATACATCAAAGCCTATAGCAGTCAAGTACCGTCAATGTACATGACACAGTTTCAACCATCATAATGGGCTAGCATTCACAGTATCGAATATTGTAAAATAACCGCCAAGAGAAAGAACTACAGTAGAAAGAAGCAAATGATAGAATGGAATGCCAAGGTAGCCGTCCTGGTTATACGACCCCGGAGACTACAATATTCCATTCACTTCAGTCAATTTGTAAGGAGTTAAATGTGGTTTCATCGTCAGCTTGCATTTCCCTAAACTTTCTTTGCAATGAAAACAATATTCATGAATTGGAAAGATATCCAACAAATAGAAAGAATAAAATAAGTGAATTTATTTTGATTACTCAGGCGATTACAATGACTGAAATTAAACCAGCAATAAGAAAACTGCGATAAGTGAATAAGTGAATAAGAACACTGCGTCTACTAGTAAACCATCACTAAAAGAATTATGAAAAATACAAGAAGCACCAAAGACAAATTCAAATAACAATTACACAATTCTAAAACATCCACAAACGATCCTCCCAGTTTGCACATTAACATTCCGTGAAAAAATATTCCGAAGTCATTTAAAAGTATATTAACACCAATTAGCTGGTTATAGTCTTCAAAATTAAAAGTCAATCAATTTCCAGAGCAAACAAAAAAAGACAAAATCAGAAAAATCAAAAGGAGCGAACAAAACAGCACTTACCACCTGTAACGTAGGAAATGGCCGTCTACTGGGGCTGACTCCGGCACATCGTCGGTGGTAACAGGCCTATCGGGTCGCCGCAGGAGCACGTACGGCGTAAGCTCACATCCAACAATGGGTATATCAGAGGGGAGGTGCACGCGTAGCACGCTCAGCATGCTTCACTCGTTGCAATCGCCACAAAACTGCAATCCTACGAACGATAATCGAACAAGACAACTAACGACTCTGCTAGCTCCCGAAAGACCGCGCGCGCAGAGGCGGATGCCAGGCGGATCCGCCATTTACTTAACCCGGAAACCCGCCAGCCTTAATGGACCAGAAAGCAAACCCGAGAAAATCACAGCATATTCGTAGCCAACAGCGGATCTTGATAGAAGATAGATGAAAGCTATCGTCTGCGGAGCAATTGAAGTTGATTCAATCAATCAATCAGAGGGTGAGGCACTCGAATTTTCCAGGAAAGAATGTTCGGTTGGGGAGAGAAAAACAAGAAGGGGATCGATTATTAGGGTTTTACAGAGGAAGTGGAAGTAATCGCTTATGCTTCATTTTCTTTCAGGAGGCGACGAGCGTGAGAGGGCTTTATAATAAACGACTTTTGTATTTTTCCATTCATCCTATTTTCCTTGTTTTTGCGAGAGCATGTCCCTTAATCGCACAGTATTACATCGCCCCACATCACATTAATTTGCCTCTTGTTCCCATATAATCAAACACCATGCCATTTTACATAAATCTGTTTATTTAATTTTTAGGAATGTCTTCTTATTTCTTTGAGAGAATTTTAAAACAAAAGAATGTACAGAAAAATTTGTACACTTATAACTTCTGAGCTTGAGGCGTAATTGTTTTATCATTTTCTATTTTGCATTTGATTTTTATTGTGATTTATATTTATAATTCAGGATAAATATAAAAATCATGTTATTATGATCACGTTAATTTTATGGTTTATTGTGTATGGATATAAGATTAATGAATTATGTGTTCACCCATACTTTTTTTAAAAAATTTAAGTCATATTATTTACGGTTTATTATGTGTGGATATAAAATTCATTTTGAATTGCACTGCAACTCTATATTTCTTTTACTTGTGCCAGGTTACAATATCTCAATAGGATAAAAGAGACTGCCAATTCTCTCCCAAGGAGAAAAATAATGATGAGAAGTATTAATTACATATTAGATACTATTTAATAAATAAATAAATTTATTAATCAGTTCAATAATTAATCGCCATCCAATTCTGCCATACAGTTGCTGTAATCATAACAAAAAAAAAATTCTTAACACTTTTGACTTTCAATTTAATCCTAAATATAAAACCCAGTTCATTTTATCTTTCATATTTATTATTTATTTTTTAAGATAGTTTTTATAGTAATTATACGTGTTAAAGATTTCATTAAATGTTAAAATTAATACACTCGATTAACAAGGATATTTTAAATAAAATAGGATCTATTTATTACAAATAATTAATTTAACAAACTTATTTGGGGGTGTTTGGTAACATGAAAAAGCACTTTTTATAAAATGAAACAAACTCCTCCACATATTTACTTCAGGGCATTTGGGAGGTTGTAAAAGTACTTTTCAAAAACACTTTTTTACAAATCAAGATAAATTCCTCCACATATTTATTTCATATATTGTAAAATCACCTTTAAAACAATGGTTTTACTTTCATCCAAATTCTCCCGAATCGTATTTTTAAAATTATAGTTTAGTTTCCATCCAAATACCTTTTTAATCTACTTAAATTAATGAATTAACTTTTATATTAAATTAAGCTATAAGCCCTGAAGGATCGCAGATCCTAAAGCCAGGTTGGATTTCTGCTTACTGCACTCGGAATAGGATTAATTCGGTGTCTCCCATGGCCGCCGAAATCAACGCAACAGTATCATGACCCGTGAACTTTTCCTGGGAGGAAATTTAGGAAAAATATACAGCTAGATGGGAAAATGTCAAGAATCTTCTAAAGCCGTCCCGATGCAGTCAACGATCATTACGAAATTCACAACCCGGTTCATGGCCTTGTCTGCACCAGCTTACTTCACACGGATAATCTTCTTTTATCCCTTTTGCTCCATCCCAAACCTGTTGTCTCGGGCATGAGAGAACTACGTCCCAACTCCGAACGGCTGGGCTTAGCGATATGAATGCTGCTTTTTATTATGCTCGGGATTATTTACTTCGTAATCGTTGCAATTTTTGCCAGTTGTGGGACGTGCTCAGTGAATGTGGATGGATGATGGATCCTAACAAATGCTATTTCTCCATCTGTCGATGATCTTTTAAAACAAAGATGCGACGGGACGGAACGGAAGGGAAAGGGGCGTGCCTTTATTATTTAAATGGACTTACATCATTAGCATATAAAATAAACGGCCGTTCAGTGAGGCTCTTTTCATATATGTGGTTCATTTCTGGGTCACACGGCTGTACAAAAAGAGCAAGCAAAACCAAATCAAAAGAAATGAATCTCGTAGCGGTACGAGTCAATGTGTTGTACATCTGATGGCTTCATTATTCATAGATTGCAGGCAGCGAGATAGGAAGGTATTGTAAGGCATAGAAAAGATTGTGAAACCCCGTGGAATAAAAAGAGCAGAATCAGAGAGGAGGATCTTTGCAGTAGTAGGTGCAAAAGCAGGCGGTGGCCTTGCATTGTCCGACGCCATTGGGATGTTTAGAGCACTCTTGAGAGCATTTCTGATTGTCACAATTGCTCAAGGGAACCAGTTTATGGCAACTATGTTCAGGAATTCTCGCCGCCTGAGCACCGCTCTGCACCACCAAATTGGAGGCCAATCCGCCTGCCCTTAATATATGAGCTCACTTAGATCGATAACATGAAAAGGAATCAGAACAAGAAAGGAATGGATGCATTTCAATTTAGTCTATGCTTATACTAAAGTTTGATCCATTCCATTTTCTTTTGAATTGTGTCACGCATGAAATTATTCGCTGTCTCTCCGTTTCTTTCACAATTAACCTATAAATCAGAGGGAATCCGACAGTATTGCGTGTTTTTCTGCAGGGTTGTTTGTGTGTGTGTGTGTGTGTGTGTGAGAGAGAGAGAGAGAGACGAGCAAAGGAGAAGAAAGGGTGGATGCATGATGGATTAGAAGGAGAAGAAAGAATACCCGCGAAAATAAGGATGAGCAGAAGATGAGAGAGTATGGAAGGTGTCGCCATCGTTAATGTGCAAACTCTGCTTAGTCTTCCTGTTTTCTTCTCAAACTGGCCGTCCGTAGAGAGTATGGCTCTGCCTATAAGCACACGCAAAGTCCCGGTGAGGGAAGGAAGGCACCTTGATATTCTCCGGGTGGGTTGACACTTGACAGCCGAAAAGCAAACCACAGTTTCTGGGGAAAGCGACACTTGTTTCTTGTAAAACCTTCTTGGTGAAAATTGAAGGAGAATATGAAAATTTGTTTATTACTTCTTTGACCTTCTTAATTCAGCATTTTAGGCAGCTTATGCCATCCACACACTCCGCCGTTCCGTAATTTCTACATTTTTCTAGGATAAAATGGTTATGGAATTATCTTACATTTCGGAATCAAAACAGTCTTTGATACTACCTCAACTTTCAAGAGCCCATAGTTGTTTTATTTGCTAGTTGTTTTATTTGCTGCTTAGACAAGTTGATCTTAAGCCGCCAAACTCAATCTCGTCGATTTAATTAATTAATTAATTCAAACCTCGACATTAAAATATTTGTTAGCATCCGTATACAATCTTGAAAAAAAAATTCTATCTAATTATTTATAACACAAACCAATGATGCTTACATCACATTCCACACAAAGTTACGGACCTACATTTTATTCTATTTAAGAAAAATGGATAAGTACCTGTGTGACGAAGTGGTATGGTACTATGGTAGCCCGTAGCCATACTATGGTCGACTTTATCATCGTGCAAGTTATGCTTACCCCAAGCCTTGTTTACGTTTGGAAAGAACTTCAAATCCGTAACAGTGGTCCGAAGCTAGTTCAGGGCAAAGTCCAACAACGGGTATCCATGCCTCATGATCTGGACCTACTCTTGATTCTATTTTTTTGAAAAAAAATTACAACCCAAGCCTCGTTGATGTTTGGAAACAAGTCCAAATCTGTACTCCACTGGTCCAAAATCAGTTCAGGCCAAGTCCAATGACGTGTGTTCATGCTTCATGATCGGTGCCAATGCATATAAAATATTGCAAAGAGCATATCTAACGAAACCATTCCAAGGATCATAGAACAAAGCATTTTTGTATTTAGAATCAAATAGGACAAAATTGGGGGTTCAATGACAAAAACCTCGGATTCAAATCCAAACAAAACTACGCAGTCCGGCAAACAATATGATAACCAACGCTCACACCTAATAACCGCCTTTGAGATCATTGACGACATCGTATGGAATGGGGGTTACTGTCTCCAACGTAGCACCTTCAACCATGAAACCTGGCTTAGGTCCCACAGGCTGCCTCTTGGTGCTGATGACTTCTCCCCTGGCCTTTGCTTCGGCCTTCAGTTTATCGTTCTGAATTTTCCTCAGACGGAACTCTTCAGTACACCTTGAAGGCATCACATGCTCTACACGCACATGAATTCTTTTTCTGATTATTCTATTGCCAACCTGGATTATGTACATTTTTGTCAATTGAAATTACAGAGAACAAATAGCTTGCTAAACAAGGAGAAAAGGTAGGACTGGCAGGGTTTAGAGAATAACCAGACAATACCAGGAAATGCTTGATTGGATTTGAAAAAAAAAAGAAAAAGGAATTGACAAGTACGGAAATTAAGAAAGTAAACGGGACAGCAACACAAACACAGATATAGCCTACTCTCTCTTTTGAATTATTTCACCAATTCAGGTTGGGAGTGAACAAATAGGAACACTAAGGATAAGAACAATTGGATTAGAAAAACTGTTACAGATCAAAAACTTCATATTCTATTCATGAAAGATTTGGATAAATCATCAAAACGAACGGGCTTGAGAAAAGTTAACAACACAAGGAAACAGCCTCACTCAACTCGCAACAATCTCAATTCTCGGCAACGGTATTCGATATGAAAAAATGGCTTGCGAGGACCATAAAAAATACTTTTTGTACCCAGATAATTTGAAACTGAATCATAAATCAAATCCAGAACACACACACGAGTCAAATACAAGTTAACAAAAAAGGAGATCTAGAGTTCAATATGACATTTTCTTTTGTCCAGAGAATTCAATATCACATTAGGTTCCCATGATATCAGTTAGAACGCTATGACCAACAACGCCTAGTTTTCTAAGTTATCCATGTAAATCACAAGATTCATTAATGACATTTTGAAATAAAAAACTATAAAATAATCAAGTTCTTATAGATACATTTCACAAATTGCACAAACTTCGAACTATCACTCTGGGTCAACAGGATGAAAAGTAGACGCTTTAAAATTCAGTACACCATACTAATCATGACAAAGACATCAGGGTCACCAAACAACAAAGGCACCCATCATCTAAACCATTCGCGGACACGTAAATTTATCTTGGCAATTACAAGAGATGCTATCACACGAAAAGTAAAATATGCTTTTAGCAATGGCTAAATTCATCAATTGCGAATAACGGGTAACCCCGGGCCAAAACCAAATTCCAGAGCACGGTAATAAGCGAGCTTCATACCTGCTTGTTCACTTCGACACCAATTGCACGCTTGGTTACGTTCCAGACACGGCCGGTACGTCCATGGTAGAACTTGTGAGGCATGCCCTTCTGGACCGCACCATTAACTTTGATATCCACGTAGTCGCCGATTTTGTAAGTTCTAAGGTAGGTTGTCAGAGCTATAGTACCCTTCTTTCTGAATGGCCTAGAGAACGAGTCTCTAGTCCGGGATCTCAAACCATGTCCAGCCGGCATTTTCAGAAAATCCTAGGGTTTCTCCGCCAAGATGGAGTGGGGGTGCAGAGCAGAGGAGGCAGCCACTCTTCTCGCGCGCTGGGTTTGGCTGCGTTTATAACTGGCAATCTAGGGTTATGCTTCTGCTTCCGCCTTGGGCGGCATGGGCCTTTTTGGCAAATATAGGTGCAATGGCTGATTCAGAACACACGGCCCAATCAGATGGTTCTTATTATGTGGATTAAAACGACGGGCCCATAACTTTGAAGAGGCTATTTCCTTTTCTTTTCTGTTATGCAGCCTCATCCCAACAAAGATCAGGTATAACAGAAGGGACTAATTTCTCATAACGTGATATTCTAATGTTTGAATTCCCGTTAAAAGAGGTATTCACTTTTAGTACCTGATAGTACTCCTCCCTTGATGCTTCAATTTCGTCAGGTCCGCACGCCGTGCTTAGCACTGGGGGACCTTTGTTTTTGGATTAAGTTTCATCCAATACTTTAAAAAAAAAAAAGTTTTCTTATGTGTATTCAGTAAAAATACTAGATGTATATAAAAGATATTTTAAAATATTGGATGAATCACAAAATATTTTAAGATAGTAAACACCTCTAACAAATTATTTCAGGGTGATGGACAAATCAAAATATATTTCTAGAATGCTAAATTTGCTTAAAAAATAATTTAGAGTGTTATATAATTGCATCAGAAAATACTTTAAGATATGAGACATATCTAAAGAAAAATACTCCATCATGCTAGATGAAACACAATATTTTAAGATAATGAATATACCTGAAAAAAATACTTTTAATGAAATTTAAACCGAAAATAATTTTAATGCATGTGTATTTTTTAATAAGAAAGGTTAAAAGGGGGAAAAAGCACACCAAAAAAAAAAAAACCAGAGTCCCACACTGCTCAGCACTCAAAGCGCCAGCGTTCTGAGCGCTGAGCACGATCAGCCAGGTGAGCACGTAATGCGGACGCCAGTTTCTTCCTCTTCGTTTGGGTCACGGGAGCCGCAAAACCTCGTGAGTTCTCGCGAAATATTAGTCCAAAAAAATAGGACTAGGACAAGAGAAATTGAGCCACCTTCACTTCTACTTCCACTACAACCTAGGAGGGCCCAACCCGCAGCCGTGAATCGTGATTGCGGCGGAAGCTCCAACAAGCAATGCTTCGAAGACGCAAATTGGAGCGGTGGTGATGATGGACGAACCCTTGACGGAGGGGCCGGAGCTGCATTCCAAGATGGTGGGAAGAGCACGGGGGGTATTCGCGTCGACATCGCAGAGCGAGGTGGGCTATTTGAGGGTGTTGACCTTCGTTTTCACCCACGGCAAGTACAATGGAAGCACTTTGAGCGTTCGGGGACGCAACACTATGATGTTAGAAGTGAGAGAAATGTCGATCGTGGGTAGAAGGGGACTTTACCAGTTTGCCTGTGGGTATGTTCAGGCCCACACCTACGCCTTCAATGTCAAAGCACGGGCTGCTATTGTCGAGTATAATGTAGAGCCGGTAATATGGGCCAACCCGCCGATTATGGGTTGGCCCGTGGCGGGCCTGAAGCTTGGCAGGCTGGGCTTTTTAGGACCGCTTTTTGACGGGTTAGAATTTTTTCAACCCGACCCGCGAGGATGGGTTGGGCCTAACCCGCCAAATTTTTTTTTTTTTACTTTTTTTTAATAAAACCTACTCAAAGTCTCAAATTCCTAAATACCTAAAATAAAACATGCAAATAGAAATTATCATAAATAAAACATGGAACCCATCCAAAGTTTCAAGTTCCAAGTTTCAAATATATCAAAATATTAAACATATGATTAAATGAACATGATATGTCCTTAATAATTTAACAAACATTTCGAATTAAAACATAAATCCAAATTAACACTACCACAAAGTCACAAACACAATGTCACTACACAAATCACTATCAAGTGCTCAATCATCACTCATGAGCTAGGGCAAAGGCGCAAAGCAAAGACAAAGAGCAGAGAGCTTGGGGCTTGGGACTTGGGACTTGGGAGTTAGGACTGGCCGAGGGCGACTGGGAGACTGAGTCTGGGAGAGTTGGGAGTCTGGAAGGAGTGCGACATGCAAGCAAAATGTGAAAATGGGACCGTGTTGGTGTTGCCGTGTTAGACTATTGGACATGGACTACTCACTGTTGCATTGTGGACTAGGCTAAGAGTGTAGAGACTAAGAGGCAAAGGAAAAAATTTGCCAAAAAAAAAATATGGTTAAATGGGTTGGCCCGCCAACCCTGCGGGTTAGCCCGCCGCGGGTTTGGGCTTGGCGGTATGGGCTCAAAACTTCCATTTTAAAACGGTCCTAATTTTTATCAACCCAACCCGCCACTTATTGGCGGGTTGGTGGGTTGAGCCCGCGGGCTCAACCCATATTACCGGCTAATGTCTCTGTGTCCCATTATTGACCATTTTTCTTCCCTATCACCCGTCTGCACTGTGATTGGCATTGACATTCCTTTTTCAGGGTTTAGACTCCAACGTATGAATCCTTGGATTGCAGATAACGTCATGTGAATATAGATGCTACCTATGTTTGGTTTGATCTATCTTCTGGGTATTAGGGTCATCCATTGACCATGTATTTTGCTAAATCTGAGTTCTCTTTAGTTGAAAATTTAGTGTTCCAAAGAGAAAAATGGATGTCGCTGTGCAAAGACCCCACCCACTGTCATTCTTATTTTGTTGCATGTGGAAGATTGGACCATTTTTCGGGAAACTAGTATTTTAACTATGATTGACATTTTCCTTCCTTTTTAATTATGACTGTTATTTTCGTCTCACACGTCGACACATCCTTTTATTTGAAAATTAAATTCCAATTCGCCAACCAATATTAGATAGTGTGGGCTAGAGGGCATGTGTTGCCTTCCAACCAAAAATTGCTCCTGAATTTTATTTTGCTTAAATTTTAAGGAGTTTCTAGTATTTTGGAATTGACTCGAAAATTAAACACGATCATTAACACTCACGGTAAGAATTAAGATGTCAAGTTTGATTATAGGTTTGGAGTTGCTACTAAACAAGATATGCCTGTTTGGATTAATGCTTGAAATCATTTATAATCTTGTTTCGCTATTTATAAATTATTTCAATAAACGGACATGAAAGGAGAAAAAAAAGATGATAGCGTGGAGCAGGAGTTGGATCCAGGTGGGAGGTTGCAAGGGACGACGGTGCAAGTGCGTAGAAGATCGCTTGTCGTCTTTCAATAAATTCCCCCAGACAATCCAATTTTCTGATCCTGACTGATCTCGCCAAAATCACCAACTTCTTCCTCGACTTCTAACCCATCTTTAATCTTATTACAACCCAGATTTCAAAACTTGCCTTGCTATATCATCTCCTGCACCTTTTACGCCTAGACCCCACCAGTATGAGAAAAATGAGAAGAGGATGCATGTGAATGGAAGAAAGCTAAAAATGCATTGAAATGTACACCGTGATGAAAAATGGGTTGTGTCTAACGTTAAGATTTGCATAATCTTACTATGTTCTAGTTTTGAAGCTCGGCGGGATGGACAGATCATGAGTTTTGTATGCGTAAACGCTCAGGTTGAAAATCAAACTTACATAGGGAAAACGACCAAGTTCCGTCACAACTCGTAACTATAAAATCCTAGACTTTTAGAGGTTTATTAGCTTCTTTCACTCTTAATTAATCACATTTCTTCAAAACATAGTTGAGGAAAATAGATAATTTTTTTCTACATTGTGTGCGTGTGTAAGCTACTTGCTTTATTTATGTTTTCGTCGTAATATCTCAACTTCAAGGCATGAATCCTTGTGTTGCAGACTTGCAGTCCTCCTCGCCGGGGGGCTGATTAATAAAGATGTGAAGGAACGAATCCTTGCGTTGCAGGTTGTGTCGGGGGTGGATGTATGCTTATATATCTGGTTTGATCTGATTCCTCATCAGTTTGTAGATTTACACTAGCTCCTGCCTTTTCTTTTCTTTTTTCCCCCTGTCCTGAGAGATAATTCCACGTATAAATGAAATATCAATGCAAAATTGACCAGCGCTGTGTATCCGTAACTACACGCAAAGAATTGGAAAGGAAGATGCCAGGCTGAGAACCCAATTCATCAGGCTCGTCCTCGGGTTGCAGGGACTAGCAAACAAATATCTCTGATTTGTTAAACAAATATCCTATTAAACTTGTATTTTAAAAATCTTATATTTTAAAGTTACCATTTGTTAAAGTGAACTTGTCATTTCCCATAGTCAACTCGTCATTTGGTATATCCTCAGTTATTTTGTGATTTAGTCTACTGAAATTATCATCCGCTAAAGTGAACTTGTCATTTCTTATAATCAACTTATCATTTGATTGAGAGACATTTCACTATGATTTCATATTTATAAAAATGGGGCTGGATCCTTACTTGCTAGTTTTCAAATTCAGGATCCCAAATCATAATTTTACATATTGAGGAGTCTTTATTTGTAATTTTTTCAAAAAAGAACATGATTAAAAATTTTAAAGAACGAATATTTAAAACAACGCCATCCTGTGATGCATTTGAGAGTCTTGTTGGGCCGAAAAACCTAGAGAACCAGCAGGCAAAACTGTCAGAAAATGACACCAGCGAAAAAGCATACAGGACTATAGGGTCGTTTGGAATAGAACTAGTAATATGCGGGTTCAACCCGCCAACCTATCAAAAATAACGGGTTAGCCAACCCTCCAGTAAACAAATCTTTCTAACCCGCACTGCTAGGCCCGCGACCCGCGGGCTAACCGCATTTTTTTATTTTTAAAATTTTTTTAAAATTATTATAATTGTATTATTATATATAATATTATATCTAAAAAATTAAAAAAAATATCTATATAATTAATTTGGTACTTCCAATGAAATACTTCAAGAAAAAAAAAGTATCATTATATTTTTTTAAATATTGAATAAGAAAAAATATTAAAAGATTAAAAAAAATAATTATTAACGGGTTGGTGGATCAACCTACCAACCCATCTTGGCGGGTTATGGTTGGCTAAAAGCCAACCCGCCTTCAAATAGCACTTTTCAACCCTATCCATATGGGTTGAACCTGTCACAGGCTAATCCACAACCCGCTAGTTAACC